AATCAACCAAAACCAGAACAATACGAACAAAAAAAAATACTCGAAAATTAGACCTAAATAGAGTCTAAACACCACATATTATGAATCAAAAGATTAACTTAGTTATGATTAAGAATTTAAGGTCATTATTTACTGACCTGCCAGGAATCATATGCAGCATTTACAAGGAAAAGGGGTGTCTGAATGCCTTGCACCATGTTTTGTGGGAAGAAACACTGCAATTTTCGTAAAAACATATCAACATGAAAATCATTTTTGTCATTCACAAAGGGATAAAAAAAGGACAAAAAAAAATATCATCTCGTCGAGAAAAAGTGCACCAACCAGACTCGGTTTCATTCTCGATGTACAATATCTTGGCAAATTCTTAGCTGAACCCTACAAGCCATCCAGTCGAGCAAAAGACATTACAGATCATAAAAAGGGGAAGAAAAAAGAAAAAAAGAAATAGTAGACAATGAATGATATAGTTTTTTACATGCGTTGTCACAACGTCGTTATAAAAACCTTCAATATGTGAAGCTCCCGAGACATCTTTCCTGTTACAGAAAGTATCTTATTCATATATAAGGTAAAATTTTCTCACAAAAGCTTACTATTTTTGTTCGTGTATAAGCTAAAGTTTTTCTCACGAAAGCTTACGCATTTATAAAGAAACCAGCATCGGCAAAGCATTTCACTTTAGTGCTGAGAGGAAGAAGCGACTTGAAGTTATCACAATGGAGAATCGAAGTCAACCCTCCGGCCGAGCATCCAGATAGAATTGCCTATAATCATAAAATACAAAATGTCAACATAATGATAATCTTTTCCAACATCAAACCAATTCTCGAAAGCAAAAAAATAAAAATAAAAATAAACCGTACATTTTGAGCATTCTTCATTCCTTTCGCTAACAAGTCCTCGATTATAGCAACAAAAATCCTCGCCCCTCGATAGTAAAGTTTTGTGGTCTATTGCATTTATAAGGATAAAAAAAAGCATTAGTTACCAAGCGCGTTTAGAGATATTTAGTTGTAAGTGAATATTTACTATTTAACATTTACCGGATCAACTTCTTCTACATCACCAGTAAACGAAGCCCCATCACAGTATCTAACTTTGATCCGATTCCAGTTGTAAAAATCTACATTATCGAAATTCAATTAAACCAAACTTTTAGTTTTTCCATTTTTTTCCTTAAAAAAATCGGAAAAACATCGAAAATTACCAGGATTGAACTTCGGCTTGTTGCTGAAAATCCCCGAAAACACGACTTGCTTAGCCATTTGCTTGGAGGATCCTAATCGGGTGCTTTTTCGAGCCAAGCAAGTAGTTGCATTGTTGCACCATCCTCCTCCCTAATTTACAATCAATTATAGGAAAACAAAACTCAGCACACTCGAATTTTTCGAGGAAAATAGGATATCGAAAACTATTGTTCTATCCTATAATAGCTAGCCAATAATATAAACAAATCCAATATATGTACACATGACCTTCAGAGCTATATTATCAAGGCTACAAGTGACATAGATATCGATACGAAAACACAAATGTTCGACGAAAAACATAATTGTTCGAGAAAAAAAACTCGATTTCGTAATGAAGAGATCAACTAACCTCAATGTGAACTATCCAATTGTTGATTCCAGCTCCAAATCCTTTGTCAAAATGGTATGCAGGTGGACTTCCATCCAAACAAACTGTAAAATTACCAAAACAAAATTACAAAAAAATAGAAAAAATGAAGCATTTTATTAAATAAAAACTGAAAATAGAAAAGAAATTTTCACTAGTTAAATTAGAGAGAAATGCTACACTCCAGTTACAGAACCATTCAGTCAGGATTTGTAACCGTTAAATCATTATGTATTCGTCGTACATAGTTGATCTAACGATTACAAACTCCTCCGGCGGAATGGTTCTGTAACGGACCGTAGAATCTCTCTAAATTAGAAGGCATTTTGACCTGCTCCTTTTGCAACAGCACTCTGAACATATGTAATATCAACAAAGAAGCTTTCAGCTTTCAACAAAATCAGCATACAAACCAAGATTTGCACCCATTTATGTAATTCTCCATTCATTTTATTGCTGCAAAAAAATATATATTTTTAGAAAATAATACTCAATCAAAAGCTATCTACACAGGGGAAACAGAGCAGCATGTAACTTAAAAAAAAAAAAAAAAATAGAATAAAATATAAATTATCTAAAGAAAGATGTTACAACTTATTCAAGTTCAATAGTCACATTAAATGCATTAGAGATTGTATTTTTCAATTTTTTTTTTTATTATTATTTTTTTTTTTGCTTAGAAAAAATAAAAAGGAAGAAAGCTTCTAAAACATTACCTTTGCAGGCAAAACCCAGATGGACACAATAGAATTGAGTCCAAAACGTTGTCTTTTGTAGCTAAAAACAACCTCAGAATACAAGAGCGCTTGGATGAGATGACTTGTCTCTTCCAGCTTAACCAATGGTCTCGTGTTCGAGTCTTGGGAATGCAGCAGTGTTAAAAACTCTTGAGGGAGCTTTGCCGCCCTTGTGGTCCTACCCGCACGATTCTGGATTAGTCAGTTCCCTTGTAGATCCAGAAACCGGAAGGTCCCTATATAAAAAAAACAACTTCAGAAAAAAAAAATAATAATAATANNNAAAAAAATTAAAATTAAAAATATAATAATAATAATAATAATAATAATAATAATAATAATAATAATAATAATAATAATAATAATAATAATATAATAGTAATATTTATATGGGGGAAGAGAATCCGAGAAGCCGACACATATTCGTGAGTAAGAATAAAGAAATTGCTGAACTTTATACCTTTGTGGTTAAATCTGCATATAGATTCTTTTAATATAAATAACATAATAATATATGTTTGTATTGTGGGTTTTTATAAAGAATATAAACAATTTTGTATGTTTCTTTAAAACTCACATAGAGGTAAATCACACAAGCTAAAACAGTAGGTGATGCAGCGCATTCCATATCGGGTTTGAAAGGAAACGAAACAGGCCTTATATGAGGATGTGGATACCTTCACTAGTAAGACGCGTTTTGGTGGGTGTGTATTAAAGCCCAGCCAAGAATAAAGCCGTGCGGGTGGCGGAAGTAGCCCAAAGCGGATAATATCTTACTAGGGTCTGCATCAGTTGGTATCAGAGCCAGCTCATGTGCCAGCGGTGACCGCTGGGCCCACAAGGGGGGGTGGATGATGCAGCGCATCCCACATCGGGTTTGAAAGGAAACGAAGCAGGTCTTATATGAGGATGTGAATACCTTCACTAGTAAGACGCGTTTTGGTGGGTGTGTATTGAAGCCCAGCCAAGAACAAAGCCGTGCGGGTGACGGAAGTAGCCCAAAACGGACAATATCTTACTAGGGTCTGCATCAGTAGGACTGTTGTTAGGCCGGTCTAACGATTTCGATTGTTATATTTTTTCAATTAGTATTTGTTATGTTCTAACGGTTCGATTTTTATATTATTATTATTATTATTATTATTATTTAAATATGTTACTACACTTAGTATATGTTCATGAATTATGCAATACATTGTTATATTTATTTGTTTTTTAAATATGATATTACATGAAATTATTCATATTTGTCAAACTAATTAACTTTTTATTTTTTCTTGAACACCAATTATTGGATTGGACCTTATATGAACACACTAACCATTTCGACCGAGGTCAAAATTTCTTTGAATAAGTTCTTAAATTATATTATATATATATTTTTTTAAATTTTCAGTATCTATATATTAAATGAAAAATGAAGTACTATCAATATTTTAGCACCAATTATTGGACCTTATCAATTTACGCGGCTGGCTCTCCATTTAATTTAATCAGAAACATGACAAGATGGGCTACTAACAACAATTGACAATTTGTTTTGTCATCTAATGTTAAAATCATAGTAATTTGATTCCGGATTAGATAGTTTCCCTGTGATACTGCTTAAACAAGGTCTCGAGTTCGAGTCTTTGTAGATGCAGAAAACTCTTGTTGAGAGACTCACCCATCACTGTCTGGTGTACGACTCGGGTCTACCAACAGATTAGTCGAGACATCGCTCCAAATGCCGTTAGCCGGCTACCCAAAAAAGAAAAAGATGGACCCCTGCCTAAATCCTCTCTCCCTAACCTATTATTCGTTCAAATGTCAAGTTTCAAAATTACAATAAAAGTCAAAATATTATAACATCTTAGTCAACATTTTTTATAATATTAAATAGCTGGTTTTGGTGCAAGTTGATTTCCCTTCAATTTTATAACGCAAAAGTCCCATATATTGCATGGTGTTACATATATTATCTTTTCTAAAATTGAGTATCAGTGTTGATTAGATACTCATTAAAAATTATGAGGTTGATTATTATAAATTATAAGCTTAATTGCACATAAAATCGAGTTTACCTCCTACATTCCGATTA